GGAAAATTGATTCGTAAATCGTCCATTTTGATAATAGTCCCACTTCCAGGAACGGATTACGGACGATTATTGAGGGACCACTGTATATGCTTCTAAACTGCTGTGTTCTGAGCACCTCTGCAAAAATAGTGATTATGTGTGTGTGAGGTGAAAGTGTTGAATGATGATGAAAGTATTTTCTTTTTGGGGATTTTCTTTCTTTTTGGGTCACCCTGCCTCGGTGGGAGACAGCCGACTTGTTAAAAAAAAAAAATAATAATAATAATAATAATGAACTATTAAGACTAGGTATAACAATAGTACTTAACAGAATTTGCACTAATGCTAGACAGTTAACAAAAAAGGGGAGTTTTCTATTACACAACTGTTATAAACTGCACACACCCACATAAGAGCGATGGTATAACTATACGTACTCTTATACATTCCCCTCTTTGCTTCCATGGACAAAGTTCTTTGTCTCCACAGACTCCTCAGTGCACCACTCACCTTTTTCCCATCGTCAGTTCTATGATTCATCTCTTCTTTCATAAACCCGTCTGCTAACATGTCCACTCCTAAATATCTGAATTACCTAATTTTTTTTTTTACCCTCATCACCGTACTCTTTCCTATATTCACTTTTAATTTTCTTCTTTTACATACCCTACCAAACTCATCTACCAACCTCTGCAACTTCTTTTCAGAATCTCCCAAAAGCAGTGTCATCAGGAAAAAGCAACTGTGACAACTCCCACTTTGTGCTGGATTCTTTATCTTTTAACCCCAAACCTCTTGCCAACACCTGAGCATTCGCTTCTCTTGCAACCCCATCTATTGTATATTGGACAACCTTGGTGACATCACACATCCTTGTCTAAGGCCTACTTTTACTAAGAAGTAATCTCCCTCTCTCCTACATACTCTAACCTGAGCCTCACTATCCTTGTAAAAACTTTTCACTGCTTTCAGTAACCTACCTCCTGCTCCATACATTTGCAACATCTGCCACATTGCCTCTCTATCCACCCTGTCATATGACTTTTCCAAATCCATAAATGCCACAAAAACCTCTTTACCCTTATTTAAATACTGTTCACCTATATGTTTCACTGTAAACACTTGGTCTGCACATCCTCTACCCTTCCTAAATCCTCCTTGTTCATCTGCTATACTACTCTCTGTCTTACACTTAATTCTTTCAATAATAACTCTACCATACACTTTACCAGGTATACTCAACATACTTTTTTTTTTTTTCAACAAACCAGCCGTATCCCACCAAGGCAGGGTGGCCCAAAAAGCAAAACAAAAGTTTCTCTTTTTAAATTTAGGAATTTATACGATAGAAGGGGTCACTAGCCCCTTGCTCCAGGCATTTTAGTCGCCTCTTACAACACGCATAGCTTACGGAGGAAAAACTCTGCTCCACTTCCCCATGGAGATAAGAGGAAATAAACAGGAACAGGAACTAGAAAGAAAATAGCAGAAAACCCAGAGGGTTGTGTGTAGTATATATATGCTTGTACATGTATGTGTAGTGTGACCTAAGTGTAAGTAGAAGTAGCAAGACGTACCTGAAATCTTGCATGTTTATGACACAGAATAAAGGACACCAGCAATCCTACCATTATGTAAAACACTCACTTGGCAGGACAGTAGTACCTCTCTGGGCGGTTGCTGTTTACCAACCTACTACCTAGGACTCAACAGACTTATTCCCCTATAATTTTTGCATTCTCTTTTGTCCCCTTTGCATTTATAAAGAGGGACTATGCATGCTCTCTGCCAATCCCTAAGTACCTTACCCTCTTCCATACATTTATTAAATAAAAGCACTAACCACTCCAAAACTATATCCTCACCTGCTTTTAACATTTCTATCTTTATCCCATCAATCCCAACTGCTTTTCCTCCTTTCATTCTACTCACTGCCTCTTGAACTTCCTCCACACTCACAACTGGCTCATCCTCACTCCTACAAGATATTATTCCTCCTTGCCCTATACACGAAATCACAGCTTCCCTATTTTCATCAACATTTAATAGTTCCTCAAAATATTCCCTCCATCTTCCTGATACCTCTAACTCTCCATTTAATAACTCTCCTCTCCTATTTTTAACAATCAAATATTAAATATTTATTAAATATACATATACAGTGGACCCTCGGTTATCGGCTGTAATCTGTTCCAGAAGGTCAGCCTAAAAGCGAAATGGCCTAAAACTGTAATAATATTTTCCATAAGAATTAATGTAAATACAAGTAATCCATTCGAGACACCCAAAAATATTTACAAAAAATAATTTTTTTAAAGATTAATTATAGTTTTACATACACAAAACAATGAGAACTAAATAAAATAAATACATGAACAATTAAATCAGTATTACATACCTTTATTGAAGGCTCTTGTTGGCTTATGGAAGACAGGGTGTTGGGGTTATTGTTTGGAAGGGATATCCCACTCCATCATAAAGACTTCAGGTAACAAGTCCCTCTCTGGGGTTACTTCCTTTCTTTGTCTTTTAATGCCACTCGGACCAGCTTGAGAGTCACTGGGCACCTGTTTCACAAAATAACTGTCCAGAGTGGTCTGTTTCTGGTGTCTCTTTAAGATTTCCTTGAAGTGGGACAAGGTTTTGTCACTAAACATGTTGCATATATGGCTTGTTTCAACTTGGTCAGGGTGGTATTTCTCCACAAACATTTGCACCCTACTCCACATTGCACAAATCTCCTTAATCTCTGAAGAAGGCACCTCCTTCCCTCCCTCTTCCTCCTCCTCCTCTGAAGCAAGTTCCTCATCTGGGATCTGTTGCTGTTCCAGATGAAGCTCTTGCAGCTCTTCAGTGGTTAGCTCTTCCCTGTGGTCCTCCATCAACTCTTCCACATCCTCACCACTAACCTCTAACCCCATGGACTTCCCCATTGATACAATACTTTCGACAACAGGTGTAGGGTCCTCAGGGTCAGCCCCAAACCCTTCAAAATTCCTCTCTTGGACACAATCTGGCCACAGTTTTCTCCAAGCAGAGTTCAAAGTCCTGGAAGTCACTCCTTGCCAAGCCTTACTTATAAGGAATATGCAATAGAGGATACTAAAACGATTCCTCCAGAACTCTCTTAAGGTCAAATGAGTGTCCGAGGTCACTTCAAAGCACCTTTGAAACACAGCTTTGGTGTAGAGTTTTTTGAAGTTTGAAATGACCTGCTGGTCCATGGGCTGGAGGATGAGCAGGAGCATTGTCCAGTACCAGGAGGCACTTCAGTGGCAATTTATTTTCAAGGAGATATTTTTTCACACTGGGGCCAAACACATTATTGACCCACTCTTTGAAAATTTGCCTTGTGACCCATGCCTTATTATTAGCTTTCCACATCACACACAATTTATTCTTGAAGACATTGTTTTTCTTGAACACACTGGGATTTTCAGAGTGATACACCAGTAAAGTCTTCACTCTGAAATCCCCACTAGCATTAGCACAGAACAGAAGAGTAAGCCTGTCTTTCATAGGCTTGTGCCCTGGCAGTGCCTTTTCCTCCTGAGTATTGTAGGCCCTCTTTGGCATTTTTTTCCACAATTGAACACTTGTTGGGGAAGGAATCCTTCAGCCTTTATGTACCCCTTGAATTCCTGCACGAATTTTTCAGCCGCATATTTGTCAGAACTTGCAGCCTCACCATGCCTTACCACACTGTATATGCCACTACACTTCTTAAATCTCTCAAACCAGCCTTTACTGGCCTTAAATTCACTAACAGCAGCACTTGTTCCAGGCATTTTTTTTACAAGATCTGCATGCAACTGCCTTGCTTTCTCACAAATAATCGACTCCGCAACACTGTCTCCCGCTAATTGTTTTTCGGTGATCCACAAAAACAATAACTTCTCCATATCTTCCATTATTGGTGACCTTTGTTTCATTATCACATTTACTCCTTTCACCACATCAACTTCCTTGATTTGTTCTTTCTTTGCCAGGATAGAAGTGATTGTTGATTTGTTTTTCCTATATGTACATCCTGGCAAGCTCAGGCACTCGAATGCCACTCTCATATTTTTCTATTACTTCCTTTTTAAATTCCATCATGTTTCTCACTTTCTTTACCAAAGGAACTTTATTAGGAACTTTCTTAGGGGCCATGGTTACTTATTTCGCAGTTGCACTTAATGAATAACCACCAAAAACAATGGAAATGTTTGGATGAATAAGCAGAAGCTTCCTCACTTGCCCAGAGACACAGCAAGACTGACGTGAGTGGCTGGCGGCCAGCTGCTTATGCATCCCATACAGCTGATAAGTGAAATAATGGCTGATAACTGGAAGCCGAAAAACCGGCCGATAAGCAGAACAGTTGATAACCGAGGGTCCACTGTATACGTATAATTTTTTTAACACTGCTGTTTCCCACCAAGGTAGGGTGACGCAGAAAGAAAGAATATTGTTATAGTCAGTTAAATAGGATTCTTATTTAAAAAGTCATCATCATATATTTTCAAGGCAATTGTGTGATTGTTTGTAATGAGGTGTGGAGGGGAGAGGAAGAAATGCTAGTGCTCTCCTGCCATGTTGAAGGAAGGATGTGTTCAATTGTTTCTCTTTCCAGACCAGATTTTGCTTGTAACAGGTAAATACTGAAAGTGTAGAGAACTATGGAAGCTTTGAGTGTGTTTTGTGGAGAATTTATTGTACTCTTAAATTTACCCCAAAGTGTGAAGCTTGCCTGCATATTGGCAGCATTGTCCGTTTTTTCTATCACATTTCACATTTTTCCTGCCCTTAATAATGACATCTTCTTTTAGGTTTGATAACTTTATCATCACTGGATGATTAGCCTCTGTATAGCAAAATCGTTATTAACAGCACTGTCTCTGGTTTTATGAATGACAACAGGGTGGATTCTTTTTTAATAATGCAACAGTACATTGGCTGTGGCATCAAAGCTCTTAGCTTTAACATTTAGCACTGGACCATCCAAAGAGAGAGAAGTAATTGTTGAACTATATTTTCAGATTACTGTAAGTCGCAACGAGCAAAGTATCTCACTCTCCCTCACCCCTCGTCAGTGGTCTGGACGGGGTCTTCTCGGGTGCAATATTGTTCCTGTTGAAAAACTGGACCGTAAGTTATTATGGAATGTACAGTACAGTGTATTATAAGTTGTATTTATAACTTTAAAAAAAAATCACTGAAAAATAACCAGCTGCCAGTAATGAAGTTCATTTTCATATGCCACAAAGAAAGTTATTACAAACTTCCAAAGTCAAAATTTTCTTTGAATACAGTAGGCAATGAGAGAGCGTAACAAGGAATCTATGCAGACTTAATTTAAATTTGCAAAAGAAAAGTAAGATTTCACGAATCTGTCCATATTATAATTTTTTCACTACTATTCTCCAGCTAACAATTGTCAAAATAAACTGTTGCCATGCACACAATGTCTTCAGTAAGACCATTATTGTATGTACTCACTAATACAGGGAGAGTATTTTAGAAGTATAAATATTACTGATAAGGATGAGAGGGAAGGAGGGAGCAAACTGCAGTGCTAGGATGGCTTCTTTTCATTCTTAAAGTTAATACTCACTTCTTTTTTCTCATCTGTAACCCCCCACACACACATGCACACACACAAACAACTCGACTTTACATGGCAGTAATAACCCTAATGAACATATTTATCAGTTAACTTTTTTCTGTTTATTTTAATTGTCTTTGATTATCAGTTCTTCACATATATGTTCCTGGAATTTTGTAGAAATACAGTTGTCTATTCATCTTTCCCTCATGTTTTTCTTTCAAAAAAAAAAAAATCTTCATTACTATAAGGCAGCCCATTAAACTTTAACCCTTTGACTGTTTTGGTTGTATATATACGTCTTATAAGCCACCGTTTTTGACGTATATATACTCTCAAATTCTAGCGGCTTCAAATCAAGCCGACTTTGTGGTGTATTTTCGTATAGTATTTATGGTTGTATTCTCGTTTTCTTGGTCTGATTTGATAGAATGGAAAACATATTATAGAAATAGAGGTGATCTTGAATGGTTTTACTATGAAAAGAACCTTGAAATGGAGCTGAAAGTAGGGGAAATGTTTGATTTTTGCCAATGTTCAAAAGTAAACAAATAATGCCATTTTCCAATAAATGTCCAAGTAGCCATTCTAATATGCAGTCATGAATGGGTTGACATTATTTATACAATATTGCAGTAGTCTGCATAACAGTAAATCTTCTATTTTTTGTTTGAATAAAAATTCAAAATAGAAGGCAAGAGTAATATTAGAGGGGCCTGGAGACATGACTGATGAACAAAGAAAATGTTATTGTAGAGCCAGGAATGTCTGCATTGTTCATTCTGGACCCTATTTTGAAATTGTCATATTTTTTAATTTTCGTGAAATTGGCCAAATTGCAAATTTCTGACCACGTTATTGGGTAGTTGAAATCGGTAAAGGGGCAGTTTCTTGTACTCAGTCGATAGAAAAAAATGGAGTTCTAAAGAAATAGCTATGAGTTTGGTCGATTGGAACAATGGAATTAGCCGAGGTCACTAATTCGCGAGTGTAATTCCGTCAGTTTTCCATCAAATTTCGTTCTTTTGGTGTCATTACAATTGGGAAAAAATTCTCTATCATTTCATAAGAAAAAAAATAATGGGGGGGGGGGAATTTTGTGACACCAGGAGACACCTCAGGATTTGGGGTTACGACAGTCAAAGGGTTAAGCTGCTCTGTTGCAGCCCTATTATGTCCATTGATAGAATTTTAGTGCTCAAGTTTTCATGTTTCATAGTTTAGGAATCTTTACATGGCATTATACTCATATTGGATTAAGTAGCTAATCTTACATGGTCTTGTACTGTTAAATTGCTAAAATTATCAGATATAGGCACGTGTCTCTGTGGCTTAAAATGTTGAAAATGTTCACCCACTTTGACTTAAACAATAAAATACAATACAGGAGCAAAACAGACTTAGCAGCTTGCATTTGATGCTATACAGTATAAAATACTACAGCTTAACACTAGTGTACAAGAGACACGAGGACAAGAATGCATTTCCTAAACAGACACTGGCAACAAAAACACCACCCTGCTGGAAGCTGTCACAGTCCTATGTGATATATCACTTTGTACACCTTTAGCACTTTAATTTTTGTTTTTTTGTTTTTTTTCAACAAGTCGGCCGTCTCCCACCGAGGCAGGGTGACCCAAAAAAGAAAGAAAATACTTTCATCATCATTCAACACTTTCACCACACTCACACATTATCACTGTTTTTGCAGAGGTGCTCAGAATACAACAGTTTAGAAGGATATACATATAAAGATACACAACATATCCCTCCAAACTGCCAATATCCCAAACCCCTCCTTTAAAGTGTAGGCATTGTACTTCCCATTTCCAGGACTCAAGTCCAACTACATGAAAATAACCGGTTTCCCTGAATCCCTTCACTAAATATTACCCTGCTCACACTCCAACAGATCGTCAGGTCCCAAGTACCATTCATCTCCATTCACTCCTATCTAACACGCTCACGTATGCTTGCTGGAAGTCCAAGCCCCTCGCCCACAAAACCTCCTTTACCCCCTCTCTCCAACCCTTTTGAGGACGACCCCTACCCCGCCTTCCTTCCCCTATAGATTTATATGCTTTCCATGTCATTCTACTTTGATCCATTCTCTCTAAATGACCAAACCACCTCAACAACCCCTCTTCTGCCCTCTTACTAATATTTTTATTAACTCCACACCTTTTCCTAATTTCCACACCGAATTTTCTGCATAATATTTACACCACACACTGCCCTTAAACAGGACATCACTGCCTCCAACCGTCTCCTCGCTGCTGCATTTACCACCCAAGCTTCACACCCATATAAGAGTGTTGGTACTACTGTACTTTCATACATTCCCTTCTTTGCCTCCATAGATAACGTTTTTTGACTCCACATATACCTCAACGCACCACTCACCTTTTTTCCCTCATCATTTTTTTAATGTTTACACAAAAAAACTTGCTTCTATCAGGTCAGATAATTTAAGGGATATGAACATTTGATGGTAAGTCATATCCTAGACTATCACTAGGTTATGAGAAGTTGGCAGCATAAGAAAAAATCATGATGAGAGGAGTGGAAGTGTATTAGAATGATGTACTGTATTTTAAGGAAGAAGAAATTATAAGACTTGTGGATAAATGTAAATGAAAGCTCTATTGTCATTCGGAATTAATTTTTTTTAACACTGGCTGTCACCCACTGAGGCAGGGTGACATGAAAAAAAAAAATTATTTTTTACATTTAGTAATGTGTACAGGAGAAGGGGATACTAGCCCCTTGCTCCCGGGATTTTAGTTACCTCTTACGACACATGTGGACTTATGGAAGAAATTATTTCAAGACTAGGTGAGTGCTTGGTGTATTGGCATAATAATTTAAGAGCAGTTTACATTTTTTTAAATTTAATCGATTAATTTCTAACTTTTACTAAAGAGTTTGCAAACTGCTGTTGGTGGCATGTAGGGAGAATATGGTATATACAAACAAAAGTTTATTTCTTTGTAAAGATTACAATGTGTGTTTAAATTTCATAATATGATTGGTACAAAGAAAGCCACCATCATGCCAGGGCATTTTGGGCAGACTTAACCTAATACTTAAATAGGGCAAGATTTTGAAATAAGATTGGGTATAATAATACTAGTTCTTACCCTATAAATTCAAGTGTAAAAAAAATGTACATGTGTAGTTTCTCACAAATTTCTTTGCTTGCAGGTTGAGACTATCATTGAAGCTGCTTTGGTACCGGATGAGTTTTGCTCTTACAAGATTGTCATGTGTTTTGTGAGGAATTTCTTTATTTGTATACAAGTAAGAATATGTGACTAAATAGTTTAGAAAACCAGCAAGTTGATGAATGTTGCACAAGTTTCTCATTTATAAAATAAGAATATACTCAGTGTATTTCTGTGGAATTACCACCGATACATCTGTTATGGTATATTATAAGGTGTATCAAAGAATATTTGTATACAGTAGAATATTGCATTATATTGTTCACTTATTGAAAATTCGTAGTTTTTGCCTGATTTTTGCACCTTTTTTCATTTATATTAGCTGGTTACAATATAAATAATGCAGTTTATTTTTTTCAATTGCATTTGTGTTTATATTGCACTGTATTGTTTCTAGTGCAGAAATATAATGTTGAAATGTTTGAAAATTCAAAATAAATGTAAATCAGTAAACGTCTGCTTGCATCACCACCTGTGAACTCCATTGATGTTGATATTTTTGTCACACTACTTCAATTACCTGAAGCTTGAATTTTAGTAGTATTGAATAACTAAACAAAGTGAAATGAGCACTTGTCACTGCTCAGTAATAACCCACATGGAGACAAACTGGCAAACTTGAAAAATTACTTGATATGTATATCTCAAATACTCTGCTGAGGTCCTTTGCTGAAGAGGATCCCAGCAGGGGGGGGGGGGGGGTGAAATATACACATCATTAAATTTTCTGAATTCAGTTTATCTGGAGAGAGTTCCGGGGAACAACGCCCCCGCGGCCCGGTCTGTGACCAGGCCTCCTTAGGTCAATGTCCCAGGATGCGACCCACACCAGTCGACTAACACCCAGGTACCCATTTTACTGATGGGGAACATAGACAACAGGTGGAAAGAAACACGTCCAATGTTTCTACTCTGGTTGGGAATCGAACCCAGGCCCTCGCCGTGTGAAGCGAGAGCGTTAACCACCAGGCCACCAGAGTTATGTTTTTATTATAAATATTGTAAAAACATTTGAAGTGAGACATTTTGTGAGCAAGTAACACTGTATATGACTCTTCTAAGTGTGTGAAGTAAATAAACATATCGTTGGAATGAGGAGTTGGGTATACAGGTAAAAAGTTTTCTTTAACATTGGGTTAAACCTACATTAGATTACAAAATGATTATGAATAGCTAATCTGCCTTTGGTTTTTCTACCAAGGCATAAAAGTATAATTAGCAGGTAAGTTGTACAGTGTCATCATAGTGTAGTAATAAAAAATGTTGGCTTTTTATTACCATGTAGTGCAATCATGCTGAAATGGCATTAACCCTTTCACTGTCGAGACCCTTGCTCACAAACTTGCTCTCAGTGCCGAAGAATTTAAAAAAAAAATATTTCTTTTCTTGTGAAATGATAGAGAATCTTTTCCCAATGATAAGGACACCAAAAGTATGAAATTTGATGGAAAACTTACAGAATTATGCTCTCGTGAAGTTAGCGGTCTTGGCGATATATACGCATCGGCAATTTTGCCCACTTTGAGCCCTATTTTCGGCCAATTCCATTGCTCCAGTCAACCAAACTCATAGCTATTTTGCTAGAACTCCATTTGTTCTATCGACTGAGTGCAAGAAACTGCCCATTTACCAAATTCAACAACCCACTGGACCACTATGACATGGTCCTGGATGCTGTAGAGGATAAACAAAATACAGATGTAGTATACACAGACTTTGCAAAAGCTTTCGACAAATGTGACCACGGTGTAATAGCACACAAAAGGGATGATAAAGGAATAATGGGAAAAGTTGGTAGATGGATCCACAACTTCCTGACAAATAGAACACAAAGAGTGATAGTAAACAGAGTAGAGTCCCAGGCAGCCACAGTAAAAAGCTGTTCCACAAGGCACAGTACTACTCGCTCCCATTCTATTCCTCATCCTCATTTCTGACATAGACAGAGATGTAACCCATAGCTCCGTGTCTTCCTTTGCGGATGACACCCAGATTACCATGGCAGTGACCTCTATCGAAGACACCACAAGACTCCAAGCGGACATCAACCAAATCTTTGAATGGGCCACTCAAAACAATATGAAGTTCAACGAGGAGAAGTTTCAACTACTCAGATGTGGGAAACTTGAAGAAATTAAAAATGTGTCAGGGTATAGAACAAATTCTAACCACACAATAGAGCAGAAAAGTAATGTGAAGGACCTGGGAGTGATAATGTCAGAGGATCTTGCCTTCAAAGACCACAACAGTATATCTACCTCATCTGCTAGGAAACTGATAGGATGGATAATGAGAGCCTTCAAAACTAGGGAAACCAAGCCCATGATGATTCTCTTCAAATCGTTTGTGCTCTCTAGGCTGGAATACTGCTGTACACTAATGGCCCCCTTCAAGGCTGGTGACATTGCAGACCTGAAGAGTGCACAAAGAACTTTCACAGCACACAGGGGCGCTATGAGTACACTGAGAGACAACACAATAAGTGTCCAGGGCACAAGACTGTTCAATTGCCTTCCAGCATACATAAGGGGGATTACCAATAGACCCCTGGTTGTCTTCAAGAAGGCACTGGACAGGCACCTAAAGTCAGTACCTGACCAACCAGGCTGTGGTTTGTATGTCAGGTTGCATGCAGCCAGCAGTAATAGCCTGGTTGATAAGACCCTGATTTACCATGAGGCCTGGTCTCAGACTGGGCTGAAACCCTGAAACCCTCTCCAGGTAAACTCCAGGTAACCCAATAAAGTGGTCAAAAATTGGCAATTTGGCCAATTTTACACAAATTTCAAAAGATGTCAATTTCAAAATAGGGTCGAGAATAGACAATGCAGACATTTCTGGTACTAAAATAGCATTTTCTCTGTTCATTAGTCACGTCTCCAGGCCCCTCTTATATTACTATTGCTTTCCATTTTGAATGTTCTTTCACACAAAATAGATTTACTGTTATGCAGCAGACTACTGCATTATTGTCATAATTGTATAAATAATGTCAACCCATTCGTGACTGCGTATTAGACTCGCCAGTTGGACATTGGTAGAAATTGAACATTTCTGCTACTTTGAGCTCAATTTCAAAGTACTTTTCTTCATGAAATCAATCAAAATCATTTCCATTTCTGTAATATATCTTCCATTCTATCAATTGAGACCCAGAAAACAAGAATACGACCATAAATACCATATGAAAATACACCTCAAAGTCAGCATTTTAAACCAAAAACATGGTCAGAGTTTTTTTTCTCATGCACTGCATGCTGCAGGTTTTTTTTTTTTATACAGCTAGCCCTCCATTTTTGCAAGTTCCACTTTCGCGAGCTTCGAACATTCACGAATGCCCATCCGCCTAATCATGTTTACCAAACAAATGCGGGAAAAAAGTACAGGAAAACGCTTTCTGCCACTTCCCTACTACCCTACCTCTTACTCCCTCAACTGGCAGCCTGCCACTCACTCGGTCATTGTCCAGTTACTGTTCGTATCCTACCATACACATGTATTTGTTTGGTGGTACAAGTATGGCCCCCCAAGCGAGCAGCAGCTGCTAAGTGCTCAAAGAAAGTCATGAATCTGGAGAAGGTGAAATTGCTAGACAAGTGTAGGGCAGGTTATTTGAGCAATTCTACCATTGGAAAATTATTTAATGGAAACGAAAGCACAGTGCACTCTGTCAAGAAAAATGAGGTGAAGATAAGGGTGGCACTAACATCTACTGCTCCTCCCTCAGTCAAGCAAGTGTCACAAGCAAGAAACAGTGCAATGTCTAAGATGAAATCAGCATTATTTGTGTGGATTTCAGACCAAAATAGAGAAGGAAATCCCATAGACAGCAATGCGATTCATGCAAAGGGAAAGACTTTGTATGATACGTTGGCTAGTGATGAGGCTAGCACCAGTGCAGAACCAGGATATCCTACTATCACCCTTCCTGACTTCCTAGCAAGTATAGAATGATTTGATAAATTTAAGAGACGGTTCTCCCTGCACAACCTGAAGATGAGTGGAGAATCAAGTTCGGCAGATCATGTTTCGGCAGGTACATTCCATGGCACTTTGAAAATTCATCGATGAGAAGGGATACAGGCTTGAGCAGGTGTGGAATATGGATGAAACAGCATTGTATTGGAAGAAGATACCTGCCAAGACCTTCATCACCAAGGAGAAGAGTGCGCCAGGGTTCAAGGTTGCGAAAGACCAATGCGCATTAATGCTATGTGCTAAGGCTGCTGGGCACTTGGTAAAACCAGGCATGGTAATGCCATGCAGTTACATTCCATATAATCACCTCCATTCAACTGTCATCAGTAACTGCATGGCTAAGTATCATCATCATCATCGTCATTGTCATCATCACAAGTCGTCAGAGCTCGTCTTTCTAACCTAATGAGTGGTGAGTGTTTGGTTTGTTCATTATTTGTTATTAAACCATAACATGTATATACAATATTTTACGATGTTTTCATGTGTTTTATGATTGTTCGTGGTTCAGTAGGATAAGAAAGCAGTATTGTTAGGCTAAGTAAATGCTTTTATTATATTTCCCTACAATATATTTTGTAGTAGTAGGTTGGTAGACAGCAATCACCCAGGGAGGTACTACCGTCCTGCCAAGTGAGTGTGAAACAAAAGCCTGTAATTGTTTTACATGATGGTAGGATTGCTGGTGTCTTTTGTCTGTCTCATAAATATGCAAGATTACAGGTACATCTTGCTACTTCTACTTACACTTAGGTCATACTACACATACATGTACATGTTTATTTATACACACTCATCTGAGTTTTCTTTGATTTCATCTTAACAGTTCTTGGTTTTATTACTTTTCCTTTTATATCCATGGGGAAGTGGAATAAGAATCTTTCCTCCATAAGCCATGTGTGTTGTAAAAGTCAACTAAAATGTCGGGAACAATGGGCTAGTAACCCCTTTTCCTGTAATAATTACTAAAAAGAATAAGAAGAAAATTGTCAAAGTGGGAAGTCTGAATGTGCGTGGATGTTGTGCAGAAGTTTGTGGTTATAGGAGGGTGGGTGCAGGAGGAAAGAGGATTGGTGGAATGATGAAGTAAAGGGTGTGATAAAAGAGAAAAAGTTAGCTTATGAGAGGTTTTTACAAAGCAGAAGTGTTATAAGAAGAGTAGAGTATATGGAGAGTAAAAGAAAGATGAAGAGAGTGGTGAGAGAGTGTAAAAGGAGAGCAGATGATAGAGTGGGAGAGGCATTGTCAAGAAATTTTAATGAAAATAAGAAAAAATTTTGGAGTGAGTTGAACAAGTTATGAAAGCCTAGGGAATGAATGGATTTGTAAGTTAAAAACAGAGTAGGGGAGTTAGTAGATGGGGAGATGGAGGTATTAGGTAGATGGCGAGAATATTTTGAGGAACTTTTAAATGTTGAGGAAGAAAGGGAGGCGGTAATTTCATGCACTGGCCAGGGAGGTATACTATCTTTTAG